AAAAAAAAACAAAAAAGTATATGCCTGGAACAGGTACCTCCAGTCTTCCCGCAAACAGGAACTTCAGGTAAGAGAGAGAGAGAGAGAGAGAGAGAGAGAGAGAGAGAGAGAGAGAGAGAGAGAGAGAGGGCGGAACACTGCAGGGTGTGTGCTTGAAGAAGAGTGTGGCACTGCAGGCGGGCACGCGTGTTCTATTTGAATGGAGGAAACGTGCGTACTATTTGGATTTCAGGGCGTAGTCAAAAAAAAATCGACTTTTCCAGGGAAAGTTGAATACGTGCGTTTTGTTTGGGGGAAGACTGTAGGTGGCGGGCGTCAAACATGCCCAGGAACCTACAAGAGGCCACTGGTCACTAGCAAAAAGGATAGGATCGAGCTCCTGAATCTGGATGTGTTTTATGCACAGATGCAGAAAAGCAGTTCAATCTCGATTCCTGCACATCTCCTTAAACTTGTCCAGATTCAGGCATTAGATCCGATCCTCTTTGCTAGTGGGACCACGCCCCTGCAGTTGAATGAACTTCGGCACGACTGTCCAGATTCAGGCGGAGAATCAGCTTTTATTGTGACCACGTCCAGTAAAGCAGTGAATGGTCTTTGCCCTCACTGGGAGGTATCCACCATCGAAGAAGGCCGAAGATAGAAGACGATTGGATGACTTGCATAAGGACGAGATCCCACTGGCAAAAAAAGATTGGAATAAGTGTCTGAACCTGCTCGTGTTTGTGGATAAGTGCAAACAATTGTGACTGATCTGCTTTTCTGCATGTCTGCGTGGAAAACGTCCAGATTCAGACACCTATTCCAATCCTCTTTGCCAGTGGGATCTGGCCCTAAGTCTGCACCAGTTATTGCGGAAAGGGGGCTCAGCAATTGAATGAACCTACGCACGAACACCTTCAGATTCAGGCGTTTTTCCAAGGCGCACTCTAGCACTGAATCTACTTTGTCTTCATTGGCCGTTGGCAGGGTGGGGAGCCGGGCGAGTAGAGGAAAGGTCCGAAAGGGTGAGAGGGAGGGGAGGAGCTTGTCTGCCCGAAAGCAGGGGCGACTGCCAAGCATCCAAGAGGATGGATTGACTCGCATGAATCTGGAAGTGTTTTGTACAGATGCATACAATCAATTGAATGAACTTTCGCACAAACACTTTTACCTTACACGGTTGCTAGTGGAACCCTGCTCAGGGCCGGCTGCACTCGCACAGTGTTTGTGAATGCACTGTGAATTTGTCCCTCGGTCTGTGTGTGATGTGTGTGTGTGTGTGTGTGTGTGTGTGAGAGAGAGAGAGAGAGAGAGAGAGAGAGAGAGAGAGAGAGAGAGAGAGA